CACTTAGACATCAAAAAGTGAGGAAATAAAAGAAAAATAGCTCTATATTACATGCTGCAGCGCGTGCACGAGATGCCATAACACGCGAGCTATCAGAACATAGGAATCCCTTCTTTATACCACATGCCATGATACACGGTAACGAATCTACAGAAATAAGAGCGTATCATATGCAAAAAACAAAGAGGAAACAAAAGAGAAACTAAGAAAAAAAATGAAAGAGTTCTGTTGGGGCTTGCAAAACTAAAAGGTTAGGAGTAATCCTAAACAACGAAACATTGAGGTAAGGTTCTTAAACTCTTTCCCTCTCTTTCTCTTGCATTTTCTAAAATTTAAAAGGTAGGATTTAGTTGAAAAAAAATGATTTTAGACCCATAAAGACTATAGGTCTAAATCCATTGACTTAAAAAAAGTCAATGGCAATTGTCTAGATTATTTAAACTAACATTTATTGCTCTATGCATGTTTTAGTGGTTAAGGGCCATAAATACACAAAAATCCTCCATAAATGAGGAAAATGTAGTAACATATGTAACGTCCCAAATTTTAATCTCTTGATTAACTAAACTTAATTATAATAATTAAGTAAATTAATGTGATGTATGGTTAGAGAGATTTAATAACTAGTTTTGATTGTGTTTCAGCCCTAATTTTGGGTCTGGTGAGAAGTCGAGCCACCTAGGTATTGAAAAAAGAAGAAAACAAGGAAAGAGTATTTCTATGCTATATGCTGTGGCATAGAGTGTGTTCATCATGGCATAGTGTGCATCCTCTACAACACACAAACATAACTAATGCGAGAATGGGACATTTTTGTGTGACATTTCTTCTTCACCATAACATGACTGTAAAATTTTGCCCTATATTTAAGATCGGGGAGAGTATATATATGGCAAAAAGGGGATTTTATACTATGTTCTCTCTGTCCCAAATTATAATGTATTTTTATTACAAAATATTATATATCAATTAAAACTCATTAAATATACTTAACAATTTTATTTTTTTAAAATAAAAATATAAACTTTTAAGAATATCTCTCATTTAATATATTAAAAAGAGATGAGAATGGAAATCAAATAGAGAGAGAAATAATAATGTTAGAATTAGCTTATTTAATAAAATTTTAATTTTTTAAAGTATTTTATATTTTAAGTTGTAAAATCTCTTTCAAAAATATTTTATAATTTTGGAATAGACGGAGTATCATAATAGCGGCAACATCAATAATAGCATTTACGATGGAATTTTCAACCACAATACTCGCTCCTGTCCTAAATGTAAAAATTAGTTGGATATTTGTTTTTATGGCGGATAGCCCTTTATTTCTCATATTTATTATTTTTTTCCAAACTACTTCTATTGTTTTCTTGTATAATATACATATCCAAAATGAAAAACTAAAACTTATATATTTAGCTCTATATATTTAAAATACTTATTTTCAATTAAATAAAGGCATGTATATCTTTTATATATTATTTATTATATAAAAATTATTATTATTATTATTATTATTATTATTAACACATTAAAATTTATGTATCTTAATCTGATTTGATAAAAATATATTAAGTTTATAAAACTAAGTAGGTGAGTCTTGTCTATTACTGACTTATATAACATAATAATGATCTAAGTTACTAAAAGAAACTCAAGGGATCTGCAAGGTTTTATAGTGCTCATCGACCACATTTTAAAACAGGGGAACAGGATCCAACAAGAGAGAATAAACAAAAAATCTATGGTCAAGTTTTTTCCCTCTTTCTTTTAGTGCGGAGATAGAAAATAATATTTCAATTAGATAAATATTTGACTTTTTGTCTTGTTCGTATTTTGAAAGTTAAGATAGTACAAATACTAATTTGAAGAAGAACTTATTCCAACAAAATTCTTTATTCTTTTAAACTTTAATGAACAGGCTCTCAACAAATTTTAATGTTCGTATGATTTATTTATTTTTTTGATCCCCTTTTTCACTTTGACAACGCTCATTTTATCAATTCATTTGTTGGATATAATCAAACACATCTGATCTAACTGGAGAAAAAGAATACTAGAAAGAACAATTCAAACATGAATCAATATGTTCAATTATAGATTATCGTTGAGGATAAAATTGAACTGGATTCATCAATTTGAGCAGAAACTTGTTGAATTAGCCATGACTTTATTTATTTACCCTTGAAATTGGTTATTAGATCGATTGAGCATAAAATACTCATATAATACGATCTAATATTAATATATTATTAACGCCGGACAATTGTGTATACATTTATTTAAAGAACATTGCGGACCGTTGACAAAATAAAGGAATAGATCAGACTTCTAATATTAACTGAGTGGAAATTAAAATTAAATGTGCAAGATTCCTTCCACTTCTCATTGAAATAGTCTCGTATGAATTTAAATTCTTTAATTATATATGGATTCAGATGTAAAGCATGAGTGTTTGACATGGGAAAAGTTATGAGTAAACGTATATATATGATTGAAGTATGAATAGCAAAAAGTGTTGAAAAATGTTATTTTTTATTCCATCGTCTGGTATCCTGAAAAATATAGAGGTATTACCACATTTAGCATACACTAATATCCGAACTATTGTTGTGTGAAATTGTTATTATCATGCGTGTGCATATATATTTGCATGCATATTTATTTAATCTGAATATAAATTTTAAAACTCAAATTCAAGACTTCAATATAATTTGATTCAATTCTTTTGACCAAATGAATGAAGAGCACCTGGTATGGCTTACGATTATTGAGCATGATAAAGACATGCATGAATTGGTGCATTTTCTTGCGTTTATATTAATTGATGATGGTAAGGTCACAAGAAGTGGACAATTTCGTGGTGGACCTAACCCTCTTGCGCGTTCTTCCTTACCTGCTCTCAACTCCTCATCATTATCAATGTAATTATCTTTTAATTAGACTGGGTTAAATTATTAAAAAAACAATTTCTTTAATTTTTTATTTAATTACACATTATTCACGGATCGAGTCGAATAGGATTATATTAGTGATAAAATTCTCCTAATAAGTATTTAATATAAATGCATATTCAAGATTCGAATTTGAAATCATCAAGTTTAAGCTAGCACAACCTTTTATTGATTAAACCACTTGCTCGTTGATTAAAAAAAAAAGGTTATTCAACACTTTAAATTGAATAGTATTTTTACCAATTATGTGTTGTTTTAATATACATTATTCCAGTTAAGTCACCCAAATTATTCAACTCGTGTCACATAAATGGCATTTATAGAAATTTATTTTATTCTATTTATTACGACATATAACATATGCACATACTAATGAGAAGTATCTGTATATTAAGATAGGGCAAAATTAGTTATGTTGGTGGAATTTATTCTTATATAATGAGAATTTATCAAATAAGAACAAAATCTTTTTTAAAACAATTATAGGAATTTCAATTGCAAAAATGTTGAATATATTAGTTAAATTAGGATTGAGTGAACATATAATATAACTAAAGTGAGCGTAAGTGTAACGACAATCTTATTACTTGAATAAGTAGTTAGAGATTTAAATCAACTTTTGTGTATGTAGCAATTTAATTAAAAATAATATTTTATATTCCATCATTTGGTCGAGCATATTTATGTACTGCAATTACATATCCTTTTAGCTTAACCGAGTGTAAGATTCTGTCTTTTTCTAAAAGTAAGAAAATTATTGAGGAAAATTTTCCTTTAACCTTTGATTTTTGATGTTAGTCAAATTAATCAATATCAAACCGACATCAACTTGAAACTTCGGAATCATGATTTTCGTTTATTAATTAATTGAATTGAATATTTTTGAATGAATGTTATACAAGTAAGTGTGTGTGTGCGTGTGTGCTGTGGAAATATTTGTGAGATTGCTTGGTTGAATAGAATGGGTAGCTATGGAGGAGTATGATTAAAGATTTAATTATGATAAGATAGAAAAGGCCAGAATGGATTACCTGGTTTGGATCATTATCCCCACAATATCTCAATTCTTTTTGTTGGATTTATTATTTTCTTGAATTTTTTTCTTAATTCAATATACATAGGCATACAAATTTCTGTGTAGTTTCACACGTGGCATTCAGCGCTTGTCACGCCATGAAATTGCGCAGCTCTTATGAGGAGGAACTCTAAATCCACGTTTTTGCCATGTACATTCTCTGTTAAAAAAATATAAAATATTTTTAATTAAATTTATTTTAATAAAATAATTATTACTTTTTAATCATATCTTTTATATTTATTCTAATTAAACAGCTTATAATAAATATAAAATTATTATTAATAGAAGTACTTTTGAAAAAATGTCAATGATTATATATCAAGAAATTAAAAATGTCATATATTTTTTAAACATCTAACTCCTCAAAAAATATTTTATATTTTTAAATAGAGGGGTATTATTTTACTGATTATTTTTTTTTATATTAAATTGTCAGCTAAATTTTTTTACCTAAACTAAAAATGTCTGAATCCCAGCCTTTACACACACATATAAATGTAGCAATTTAATTAAAAAAATTAACTTTTTACTTTGTCCTCAATATTTCAAGAGATAACATTTACTATCAACAAAGTTTATTTTTTATGCTATAAAATTTTTATCTTGGAACATAAGATACAATTTTATAAACGATGACCAATGTTTTTTTCTTTTTGGCAATGTTTGAGATTATTGATTATTCTAGTAATATAAATAATTTAAAAAATTAATCAAAACAAATAGCTTAAATAATATATAAGCCGCTAATGCAACCAAAAATAAATTATAATAGAAGAAACAATCCCTTAAAGATGCTGACTAGAGGTTGGCGTGATGACATTTCCTCCTTATATTGTCACTATAAGTTTATTATATTTATTATAGAATATTGTAAGTAGAAATCATAAAAGTCATACATGCACACAGTGATATATTCGCATAACTACTTTATATATATACATATATAGAGTATTAGATATAGAAAGATCCAGAGAGAGAGAGAGAGAGAGCCATGGCTGGTCTTCAAAGATCTGCGGTATCATTCAGAAGGCAAGGTTCATCTGGGCTTGTTTGGGACGACAAATTCTTATCAGGCGAATTGAACCAAGTGAACCAGAAGGAGGATAATAATGATCAAGACCATCACAAGTCTGAAATTAAAGACCTTAAAGTAGCCGTCGACAGATCATCCAAGACCATCCAGAGAAGCCGTTCAAACGGTGGCTACCGCACCGGAAAGGTGGCTCCGGCTATCGAGCCGCCGTCTCCCAAGCTCTCTGCATGTGGGTTTTGCAGCGCGTTTGGAAAGTCCGGCGGGGATAGGGGTCAACGGAAGAGGAGAAAGCCAGCGAAACCGAGATCAAGGTAATTATGATTACATATTTTCTGGATTTACCGGCGGCCGGAGGTGGGATATTCCGTCGGAGTGAGAAAAACAAGTACGAATGTTATGTTTAGTTTAGTGATTTTCTCTTTCTAAGTTAATAGTTAGAAGGTAGAAGTGGTTTTGTTTGATCGATGTTGGTTGGACTTGGACGTATGTGATTATATTATATGTTAATATTTTTGGGGTTGAAGAATTTTTATTTTAATTTTTGTACAGAGAGAAAAAAAAATTCTCAAAATGGAATATTTCTCATGATTATGCTTGCCTTTGATGGATTTTTACTGATTGCCGTCTGAGTTTTTCTGTGCAGCTTCATACGATTATGTTTGCTTTTAAGGTTGTTTTGGGGATAATCATAACAGTTACCGAATGAATTTTTTGTTTCTACTAATGGTTATTTAACGCTATTTAACTTTTCAAAAAACAACTGATGTGATGATTCTGTAACAACGCATTGTAACAATGACAATTTAAGACCTTATAAAAAAAAAAAGGTGTAAATGAAGACTTTGAGTTATAAATTCTTGATATTTTAATTATAAAAGGTTTCTGATATTTTTTAAGGAACTTTATTTGTCATTTTCCTTATATTTATGGGGCGTTATATATGATTTATTTACCACGATGCCATGACAATAAAAAGGACATGGGATTGAAACTCGAAAGCCAATAAAAGAAGTTGCAATAATTTGAATTCTAATTAAAGGCTTTGTTATGATATTTTAATTTATACAATTAAAAATTAGTTGGGATATTTATTCACCAAACATTAACCAGGGAAGATTGTAAGACAATTAAAACACGGAATAAGAATATGGAATCTTCCAGATTGGATTCGAAACAGGTTCTTCGTTGATTATTGTTTAAATTCTCGTCACCTCCTCTTTTATTTTAATTTTGCATTAAAATTATTAAATATTTTAAATTATGAAAAACAATCTAAATGTAATTAAATGTGTGCATAAGTTACATTTGTTACTCACAGCACGATGAATTATGGTCCGAATCTGCGTGAGAAGAGAATATATACGTTTCTAGCGTGTTTGATAATAAAAACATACTACTTTCATTTCAATTTATAAAATATTTTTAAACAAATGTATCAATAAAGCTTCTTATATATAATTTATAATTTTAGTTTTTTAAAATAAAAACATGAATTTTAAAAATACCTTTTCTTTAACACTCCATTTAAAAAAAATATTAAAGAGAAAGAAAATATGAAAAAGATAATATTAAAAAAATATCATTAATAAAATTTTATTTTTATTAAAATATCTTATGTTTTATATCAAATCTCCTCTAAAATATTTTATAATTTAAAATGAATATAATATTTTTTATAATGAAAATGAGATATGTACTTAAAAAATGGGATAAATGTATTTCTCATTTTTTTTTAAAATTTTTTTTCACCAACCAAACATTACTTTAGTATCTAATTATATCTAGAAAATAATTCCTTTTAACAGGAGAAAACATATATTGTTGATGGAAAAAAAAATTGGGGGAGGAGGTGACTCTCCATATACGTAAGTAAAAAAATATATTTTTATGCTATGTTTGAATGTATAAAATTTAAATTTGAATTAAATGTCTCTCGTTTGGATATTTAAATGTTTATGAATTTGAATTTAGTCTAAATTCAAATATATATTTTATTATAATTTTTAAATAGTTTTAAATTCTTTGAAGATGTAAGTTATTTGAAATTTGAGCTACACTAACCTTTTTGTTTCTTTCCGCGTATTTACTATGGATACTTTTATTATTTTTGTATTTACTTTCAAATTTTAGCTGTTTTTTCTCTTTTTTTACTTTTAAAATTTTTTACACTATCCAAACAAAAACTTTGGGAGAACCTTACTTAGGGCTCCATAACACATAATTTTACATTTAAACTCAATATAATTTAAAAACTCTCTGCAGACCCATAAATAAAAATATGTTTTAACCAAAAAAAAAAAGATGAGTTAGCCCTTAGACATTTTAATGTCAATTATAAGATATTATGTTGTGCATTCATGAATATTTTGTCGTTCATTCATTTTGTTCAACTTGTAGTCTTGTACATTTCAAGTAAAATAATTTTCACCAGACCAATTATACATTACAAGGCATTGTATTATGCATTCATGGACATATATTGTTTTTTCATTCTATGCAACATGTAAATTTCAAGTTAAACTATTTTTACTAGACCAATAGCATATTACAGGATATTATCTTGAGAATTTATGAACATTATATTATGCATTTATCGAGAGAGAGGAAAAATATATTTTTTATTAAAACATATTTTCACTTAATGCCTTTGAGCTTGCATAGATTTTTCAGATTGTATTATGCCCTAAATGTAAATTTTTGTGTTTTGGGACCTTATGTGAGATTCTCCCAAAAAAATTTTAAATCTATGATTTTTAAATCTAAAATTTAAATTCAAATCCATCGTCTCAAACATTCCCTTATGTATTTTATTTTAAATATAATAGATTGGTAAAAAAAAAATGTAAGATTTAGGTACTTAAGTCTTATATATTTAATATACTTTTATTTAATCAAATCAAAATAAATGAATTTTAATGTATTAATAATATTAGCAAAAAAATTGTTATAAAATAAATAATATATAAAAATTTTAACAAACACCTTAAATATATATACATATATATATATAAAGAGGTTGAAACAGATAGAGGTTGGTCAATAAATTTGTTCGTAAAGTATTCGCCAAAAAAAACAAAAGAAGATTGATAAATTAAAAGAATTTGTGGGCCATGTTGTCTCGCATGCCGCAAAATTGGACCACCGGCCTTCTCCTTCCATTTAATTAAAGCCCATCGTTGTTATTGGAAAATATATAAAAAAAAAGTTTTTTTTAAACTTTTCCGTACGTTGATTATAAAAAATTCAGTCAAACTCCTGTATCATTAAAAAAAAACGGAAATATTTTTGTGAAAGAATGACACAAAAGGACCATTGAAAAAAGATTGATCATTTTAAAGGATAGTAAATTTTTCAAACAGCAGAGAATGACCAAAATTTAAAAAAAGAAATAAACAGACGAGAGTACCCTTACGCACATATAGCTCAATTGCATATTGAGGATGAGTTGCCAGCTTAAAAAGTTAAGTTATGTATCTTGGAAGAACAGTTGCAAATGATTCATAAATTATGAAAGAATTGTAAATCTTGAAAGTTCAATTATAAATAGCGAAAGCTTAGTTATAAATTCGAGTGCTTGTAAATTATAAAAGTTTCTTAATTCCCAACAGTTCAATTGTAAAAGAAAAATCCAAAGGTCTCCGTGGCTTTCAAGATTCTCAAAATTTATAACTTATTCACAACTGAATTCGATGTCAAGTGCATTACGGTATTTTGGTTCATTTACTTAAAAAATCAGTCCTTCGATGTAATTTGAACATTCATAATATTTTAAAGGTAATTAATTTATTTTGATAGATCTTATGTATTATTCTCTTTAATTTAATTTATTATTGTAAAAAACTTGTGGGATAATTATTTGGAACTTTTTTTGGGCTAGTATTTGGAACTTACGTTAAGCACACATAAAATGTTCTTTAATACCTATACGCACAAGCCTCAGGCTTTTATTTTTTTTTTTGGCACACAAAACAAGGCTTAGTCTTTAGATATTATGGTTTGTACATGCATTATTATTTATTAATTCATTAATTACTACGATTAATTATAGTTGAAAAATGTCCTAGCCACCACTCAATCACTTAAAAAATAAGTCTCAATAAATAATTAACATAAAATATAAAAATCTATAAAAAATCACACCATTCATAAGTCTTATACGGTACAGTTTATTTTCATCTCTGTCTACAATTTTTACACATTTATTCAAAATTTTTAATGCAAGATAAATATATCTAGTTATAGTTAGGACCCATTCTTACCCCTAACCTACTCAAAACTGCATTATTTTTTTGTTGATAAAAGGATTATAAAAGAAAATTCCAGAAACTATGCTAGAAGCCCCATTAATCATCAAAGAAATCTTACCTTTCATCACAAGTTTGAGAAAGGCTCTTGTTACCAAAAACACTAAAATTTAGAAGAAAGGTTGTAATCATTTGGGTCCATTTAAATTTCAGATCGATAAGCATCCATTTGCTTTTGTAATCCTTATCTTCTGACTTATCATTTGCAACTAACTTTCTTTAATATTATTATTGATCTTTAAAAAAAAAAAAGATAAGCTTCCATTTGCTAGAGCTGAGATTTCAGTTTGAGCTTTCAAACAACTTTTTGCGACTTGGAAGAGCAATAATCATACCATATGATAAAGCTGTCAATTATGATCAGCTCTGGAGTGGATTGGTCTTATTAAACCCGATTACATCTTAATACTGTACTTTGGCCAACTCAGCCCTGGCCTTCAAGAGTTTGATTTGGGTGCTCATCACAGTGATGAGCACCATGGTACTCATCACTGTGATGACATCTGAACCATCCAGATTTTGATCTGGATAGTCCATATTTAAAGAATTATTATATATTTTTATTTTTTATTTATTAAAATAAAAATATATAAAAATTATAAAATAATTTTAATAAATTTTTTATTTTTAATATGGTCTAGATTTAATTTAGAGGGTCCAATTTAATATTAAAATTTTTATAATTGATATATATTGACTATCCAGATGTACTCTGCACAGGCTAAATTAATTGTTAATCTGGCCTGTGCATAGTACATCTAGATAGTCAATATATATCAATTATAAAAAATTTTAGTATTAAATTGGACCCTCTAAATTAAATCTAGACCATATTAAAAGTAAAAAATTTATTAAATTTATTTTATAATTTTTATATATTTTTATTTTAATAAATATAATGTATAATAATGTTTGAAATCTGGACCATCCAAATCAAAATTTGGATGGTCCAGATCTCACCACAATGATGAGCACCCAAACTCGTTCCGGCCTTCAACCTCAACCCTATTTTTTTTGTTTTTTTTAATTTAAAAATTTTAAAAATATATTTAAAATCACAAAAAAGTTATTACATGTACCATTAAATTTTAAAAAATAAATTTAAGACAATCCACACAACAATAAATTTAAGTCTAATAAAAAAAATATCAACATTACAAAATCAACAACAATAACAATTAAATTTTGTTAGCATTATTGTCATTAATATTAATATAATTTAATTCTTCTTCTTAAGTTGAAGCCTCGAGGATCGATTGAAAGGAAAATGAATGATAACATGATAGTCAAATGACATGAAACTAGGGTTTTATACTTTTAATGGTATTTAATTTTTTCTTATTAAAATTAAAAAAATATATGTATAAGGGCTTAGAGCTGGCCCTTTTCTTTTAAGCCTAATTTATCATTTTATACATAAAAATAATAGCTTGACTCTCTTTTTTCGGGATTAAAAGGGCCACTCTTGCTTTACCATTTGGCGTTACTTAAAACTATATCATCTTGAAGCAAATAGATATATTCATATGTTTACTCACCAGATATCCAGCTACAATTACAATTTTACAATCGTCAATTATCTATTTCAAAGATACTTAAATCTCATAAATTATGACATGACATATTCTTCTTTATCTTTTTGCATGATTGTTCGTAGAGCTTTGAATTGAAAAGAACTAATATTATCCACATATGCTCTCTTCTCAAGAATAAAGCATCACTATCTTTAAATCGTGATGATCTTAACTACATCGACCTCTTGAATCTTGATGAGCTAAGTAACCATATAGTGAACCAATAAGGAAGGCGAAAGAGTGTTTGGGAGAATGTAACTTGTATTACGCAATTTCTCAACTATTCAATGTTTACCAACGAGAAGAGTTGGAGGAATTTATAAATCTTCAAGACTCTATAACCTTCCTATCTCTTCATGGATGCTAGAATTTTCTCCTAATATATTTATAAATAATTTCTCTAAATATTTATGCCGACTCTTCTGGAAGGTAATATCCCTAAAATTCTCTTTAGTTTTTTGTTATAAAAAAAATTATCCCTAACTTAGGGCTTTTTCATAAAAACGGAAACACACGCCTATGCACACATTCATTGATTGCTCATTCTGAAATTCAAAACCACAAAGTCGATCTCCTTTTAATAAAGAAGTGTTTTGATACCATTAGGCCAAGAGGCCTTCGACTATGGAATTCTCTTTCCTCATTATTAAACGTTTCCCAAATGTTGCATCTCTATCCCTTCTTCTTTTGTATTCCTTTTTCTCATTCCCATTTATACCAAAATCATATTTTCTTCATCTCCATCTTCATTATTCTATTAAAATTATTTCCTCTATACCAAACAGGGCCTTTTATTTGTGTTGTGTTGCGTGTAAGGACGGTAGCTTGGTTGAATTAAAGATCAGTTGAATGAATTAGAGGAATGAGTCAAAGAAGAAGTGGGTGGATACTCATTTATGAAACAAAAGAAAAGGGCAAATTATAGGAAAATGTAACCTCCTTCTAACAACAATATTAATAACACCACCACCTAATCCAAAAAAAAAAATTCCATATAATTAATTAAAAATAAAATTGCCCAATCCCTTCGTATTCCCAAACAACATGTGCATGCATATCCTCTAATTTTAATACAAAGCCATGACCATGATCTTTTCTTTAATATCAATAATTTATTTTTTCTGTCCAAGTATCCATAAGTACAAACCAGGTACAAAAGTAATAACTAGGATGGGGAAACCCCTTTATTTTGTTTCGCCTTAATCAACCCATGTATTTTTCAGACATAGAAGCCTAAAAAATGCAATGTGATAATGTATATAATTAGTGGGCAGGAGAAAGATTAGGAGAAAATTACTCTTCCCCAATTTTTTTTTAAAAATTCCATCAGTTAGTATCTTGGAAAACTAGGGAGCATTACCACCTCCTCTATCCAGATTAATTCGAACTCTCACCATGTGAGATTGTTATTATCAATGGTAGCCTTATAGGTATCTTGATGCTTTTGGCATATTCATTTAACATGATTGAATATCTTAAAATTTGAACTTGAGATTTTAGAATAAATTGATTCAACTTTCTCAACTAGTTGAACCAAGTGTCTCTCAGTACTCTACCTAAGTCAATATTATCAAAAACTCTATCTACCCAGGCCCAATTAATATTGCCCCCAACGTCCTTCATGTCACATACACACATGGAAATCTATTTTCACTTTAGATATGAGAATTTTTTTAATATAGTTATTTGATTGAGTTAGATTTGACTATTGTCAAGCTAATTTGGAGGTAACTTTTTCAAAAACATTTTTTACATTCATAAGGATTAAAACCCAAGGTCTTGTGTTTAAGCGGCCATAGCCTACATATCTAGTTATCTACCACTAAGATCAATGCCTGATGATTAATTAGATATGAGAAATTTGATTGCGATCACTGTCCTATAAAATTACTATATATGAAATAAGTGAAGTTTTATTACAGTGTACAGATATGGCTTATTCAACCACCTGAAAGCCATGCAAAACAGCAAAATATATAGAACTTAACGAAGATGGTCTTCAGATCAAATGCTGATGCCATGAAAACAACAAACTAGAACAGAAAGGGAAAGAACGCAAGATTAGGAAGTGATCAATATGATCAAGTCTCTACTTCAATCAGTGCTCAATCACTTGACACGCACATACAAGACAAAAAAATCATCATCAAAGAAAGAAAAGATAAATAAATGAAACACAAAAGCGTTTCTCGCGCTCTTTACCAAATGTATGGGTTTTCTCTATACTGTACACTTTCCATCCACTTTATTTTTCTTTAAACTGCTCTTGCCTTGGCAAATGACATCACCCATGGTTTTGTTTCTTTTCAGGAACCAACATCGTCGTTATCCTGTTCCAATGGAAGTTTAGCAAAAATGTGCCTTCAGAATGTGAAATGATGAACTGTTATAACCACAAGCAAGCATTTATTTAAAAATCGTTCTATATTTCTCCTAGTATGATATTCTAGCTAGGTCTGTATGTCTTCTCAGAGAGAAATGAGTCATAATGTGAGATTTTGTTCATCTTCAACCCTTATTCTTCTCTTCGTACTCGTGATTATTCCAAACTTTTCTTACACAGAGGGATCTAAAAGGGTTCTTTCTGTTGTTGATTATGGTGCAAAAGGAGATGGTCAACATGATGATACCAAGGTACGCCATGTCTAGCTGCTACCTATATAAGCTTCGTTGACTTCTTGTTCTAATATGGTTTCAGGGAAATAAGAAACACTAAAAGCAAGAATACAAAAACAAACCAGAATAATCAAATATATATTCTTCAGTTTATCATCATGTGATGGTGTAGGCATTTCAAGAAGCTTGGAAAATAGCTTGTTCGCTGAATGGAGGAGCAGTGATTTTCTTTCCTTATGGAAAAACATTTTTGGTGTATCCACTCGACATTGTGGGACCATGTCGATCCAAGGTCACTTTGTTGGTAAGCATTAAAAGGAATATATAGAAGAAATTGATTAATGAGGTGTCTGAGTCAGTATTTGCATGCAGCTGCTGAATTGTATTAACACATTCTTGCATGGTGATAGAAATATAGAATGAATTTGAATGGGATTTGTGGGATATTATTACTGAGTTTAGAGATTGTGACGGATCAGATCTTAGGAGAAATAGTGGCACCAGAAGATCCAGAGGCGTGGAATGGTTTCGATCGGCAAAAATGGCTTTCGATCCGGTGGGTGAGTCATCTTACTGTAGAAGGTGGTGGCAGTGGGACCATCAATGGAATGGGCCACAAATGGTGGTCCAGATCCTGCAAGACGACCCAAAATCATGTATATTCTTTGTACCTCTTGCGTCTTAGTATCTAAATTTCGATCATTTTTTACCCATCCAAAAACTTGTTTATTAAGTATTTTTGAAAATAAAGTTTACCCATAAACTTATTTTCATATAAATTTGTACTAAATTGCGCCATTTATAAATTATGAATAGGAGAATTTGTTTTCTTGACTCTGATAATTAATATAAAGAATTAGAGTATTTGCAAACGTGCATAGGTATAAAAAGAAATTTTAAAAATTGTTTATACGGATTCCAAAAGAATGTTATGAAATTAAGTGTAAGAAATTCTAATAGAGAAGGTGGTCACTCACAAAATGTGACAAATTTTTTTATTGGAGAGACGCTCACATATAGTGTTAATATTTTGAATAATATTGCCTCCGATAAAAAAACACATGGATGGAATGTTTTTGTTTTGAATTTGTGCTAAATAAATAATCAATAGGCTAAGGTTTACCTATTTGTTTTAACTTGAGTGTTAAATTAGCCACCAACCGTTAAGAATAAAAATTTACACTCAGGGGTGGAGTTAAAAGTTAAGAATAAGGGAGGTTAAGATTAAAAAAACATATATACTATAAAGTTTTTATAAATTTTAGGGGGATCAAAAATATATAATACCTATATAACATAAAGAAAAGTTTAAAAAATTAGGAGGGCCGTGGTTCTTACAAATCCCTCCTCCCTCCACCACTATTTACGTTAACATATATAAATTTAGATATCCAACACAAAAAATCTTGGATTGAACTATGTGACAACTCGCAAGACACATCTGACAATACGTACCAATTCAATTTCTTCTAAATTTTGAAGGTTTTGTTGAGCTGAGTATTGGACTAAAACTGACTTTTGATGTGTTTTGGCAGGCCTGTGGAGTGGCTCCAACGGTTAGAAATGGATGCTTTAGTTTCACTTTCACAGATCTTATAATTACTCTCTCCCATTATCATTAAAGCTGAATGCAGAGCCACAATTCCACTGTGCAGGCCATCAATTTCCATAGATGCTACCATCTCAAAGTGAAGAACCTCAAGTTGCTCAATAGCCAACAAATACACGTCGCCATCACTAATTCCAGGAACGTCGTCACGTCCAATCTCCGAGTGCTAGCCCCTGCCTTCAGCCCCAACACTGATGGGATCCATATCGGTGCATCGAAGGGTGTTGAGGTCAATGATTGCATAATCCAAACAGGTCTGTTACTTCATCCTCAAGTCATCTTATTTTCTCTTAGCCTCCTAGGTTAATTACTGTTTGGCAATGAGTTTCTCATGCTGATATCAAAATTTGAGACAAAAATTCTGTTTTGGTTGTTCATCCTCAAGAACTGCAAGACAACATGCCTCAATGAACTCTTTGTGCCACTTCAGGGGATGATTGTATTTCTATAGTCAGCAATTCCTCAAAAATCAGGATTAGAAACTTATCTTGTGGCCCAGGGCATGGCATCAGGTAAAAGTAACTCTTGCTTTAATTTTAATGTTTAGATTGAGGATAGCAAATAATTAAAAACTAAATAAAGAAAATTAAAAATTGAATTTTGCTATCCTTTGCTTCCCTTCCCAAAGATATTTCCATTAGCAAAAAATGATATTGAGGTGTAGCATAAACCATTCTTCAGTATCGGTAGCTTGGGAAAATTCAACTCATGGGAGAAGGTGCATGATGTAACAGTTGATGGAGCTTTTCTTTCAAGAACTGGCAATGGGGTGAGAATCAAAACATGGCAGGTAATCTCTAGAAAATTGTAGTGTTCTCAGCCCTCTTTTTCTCTTTTCTTTTTGTATTGAGACAAAGTTCAAGAAAAGTTCTTCAAATGTTTAGCATTGATTCTTCAATAATGATACAATGCGGTACTGAGAGCTTGTTCCAGAGAGCTAATATGATGAAAACTGTTAAGAAGTGTTTTCTTTAAGATGGAAAGACTCAGAACTAATCGGCTTGGCTTCCATGTGAATTCATAGGGTGGTGGTGGTTTTGCCTCTGACATCACATTCAGAAATATATTGATGGATCAAGTATCTAATCCAATAACAGTAGATCAATATTACTGCGATTCCTCCATGGCATGTCAGAATCAGGTATATATGAAATTTTTATTCCTCTAATCTCTGAGGAAGATGGTTCTAGTTCTAGATGTGGTAACATCCACTTTCATAAGAGAAAAATGCAGAGTTCTGCTGTGAAAGTGAGGCATATATCCTTCATCAATATCAGAGGAACATCTGCCTCAGAGAATGCTATAAAATTTGCATGCAGCGATGCCTCTCCTTGCGAAGATTTACTCCTTGAAAACATTTTTCTCGCTCCTCGCCGTGGAGGATTGGTGAGATCTTATTGTTGGGAAGCTCATGGCTTCATTAGGGGTCCAGTGCAGCCTTCTGCTTGCCCCCCAGTTTGCCAGAATTTCATTGGACCGGAAGAATGGTCAGACTCAGACTCTCTTATTCATTTCATCTGAAATACTAGTATTTACTACTAGTCTTTTTTGAATTTAGATATCTAGTCAAACTTTATATAAAGTCTTATTGGGATTAATAATTTGTTTGTAACTGCAGCCAACTTGCTAATCCTCAAATGGGAACAAATGACCTGGTGGAAGGTAAGCATGGTATATAGCTGAATATAGCTACCCTAAATTCAGGTGTTGTTTATGGAGAGCTCAACCTCCATGCTAGGAGGTGAAGTTGTCCTTCACCTATAGCTTTCTTTCTTTAATACATATATGGACGTGTTTGGATTAATAGAGATTTAGGATTAGATCAAATCTTTCGTTTGGATGCACAAAAATTCATGGATTTGGATTTAGATCAAATTCAAATACATTTTTTATTATAATTTCTTTGTAATTTCAAACTTTTTCTACAACTCAGTCATTTAAAATTTTTATGACTTCAAACCTCTTGTTCTCTTTGAATTTTCACTATTAATACCTTTATAATTTTTATATCCTTTCTCATATCTTATTTTCATCTCTTGTTTAAAATAGAGGTAATCCCATCCCTTCCAATTTTCCCTTTTCATTTCGAAACTCAACTCATTTTGTGATTTAAGTACATGAAATTTAAATGAGATTTGAAATGTGAGAATTTAAATTTAAAATCTAAATTTACCAATCCAAACATTACCTTAAAAAATTACATCTGATTAGATTAAATTGAACAAATCTTTGGAAAGATAGATTTCTGAAAGTGAAAGCTTGCATTTGAGGAGATTACTGATTCTCTCCAGTGACAGTACCTTCTAAATTCATCTCTTTCTTTGCTGATTCAATTGGTTTTCCTCTTCTTTGCTAAGCCTCCACAGGGCAACCTGCATTGAAGAAAATCACCAGAGCCGGACTCAACCAGACTGTGGAAGCAAATTCACCATAGGAGAAGCATATCACTATGTATGATATCCTCTAGAAACGATACTTATATATATATATATATATATATGCATAGTTATTTCGCTTTGGTGCTTTGATTGTACCCTTACAATCTCAGGCAAGTAAAAAGGTTGATGAAAATACCATTGAGGGCCCAAAAGAGGGGGAAAAAGGAATATGTGTAGCGTGTAGGTTTTGATTTACAACAATAATTTTTAGTTACTGCGCTTACAGGCCCCACGTGTATGAAGCAAACCAGAGCCACTTTCCTACGTTTTTCTTTCACAGAAATTCATTTGAGGGGTAGCAGCCATTGGGGATATGCGTCTATAAGAGCTTTCATAATCACAAGAATCCGCTCACAGAGATTTCTGGGGCTTAGAGAATGGCTGGCACTATATACCTAATATCCTTATATGCTCACACAGATATAGATTTGAGTAAAGTTATCATATAAAACCACCTGGAATTGGCAGCATTTTAATGAGCTTTAAATTATGATTCTAGCATGGAACGGATGCATTGCTTGTTAAATGGTACTGAATTTCACAATTTTGAGAATACTAATACACTGTAAAGTATACAGTATATTAGTATAAATAGATCTAGCAATATGCATCACTGGCTGGTCGGCTTTACATGAGGTTCCATACACACACACGCACACAGAGGACATCTTCTAGAATGGTGTTATAGTCCTTAACATATGAAGGCACATGGAAAGTTATTAATTTTATATTTAATGAGTTAACTGTCATTTCTTAATTTTAATAAAGTAGTTGAAAGTATCTTATAATAAATACGATGAGTATTTATATATAGCATTAGTGAATAGGGGATATGCCATGAACCAGCTCTTTGATGCTTAGGATAGAATCCAATTCTCTTTGTATAAGGATTGTTTGTATTTGTTATTCCAGATCAATATAGAGATGCTTCTGTTTCTGTACCGCACAAATAAAATCATTTTTTTATTTATTTTGAAGCTTGTTAAATTCATGCTTCCCATTCTCAATTATAAACTATTGAGGGCTTCCAACTATCTATCTATGTACAGAGCAACTTCTAATATCACACCCTTTTGTCTGCCACCAAATTTCCCAGTTTTCAGCTGCTTTATATTCCTTTCATTTCAATTTAAAAGACCTTTTTTTAATAATTTCATCTTTCATAATATAAGATATTTTTGAGGAAATAATAATTTATTAATAACCTTATTCCAAAACCCTCCATTAATTATGAGTTAATTTGTTTTGGCCAAATTATGAGTTAACTAGGAGCTAGTGTTAAATGGAGGATATTATTAAAAATTTTATACTTTTTTTAAATAAAATTTATAGCTGTATTTAATGAAGTTTATTGGTTTTCACAATTTACTCTAAAAACATCAAATAAATTGAATAGGAGGGATGCATTATTTTTTGGCAATAGATTGTATTTGCAGTGCATGTGAGTGCCAAAGATACAATATACCCAGCTCCTAAATCAAATAGTGAGTTCTTAAGGTCTTTTATTATAATTTTTTCAAATGGAAGTGCTTAAAAATAAAAGAAATGAAATAAACAAGGAGTAGAATGGAAGAATTGCATGATAAGAGCAAACATAATATTAAAAATTATATAAAAGAAATTGCAAGAAATATAGGATAGAAAACTAGAAAAAAAGTGCTGGAGTGTTGTGGCTACTATTTTCTTGGGAGTTAATGCTCTATTAGCTCTATTAATTGCTAGAGAATTCATGAATGTATACTCATCTAATTAGATAACTATGTTGAATTTGCCGAAAGAGGAGGTGCCTAGTTTCATCAAACTAAGTGTTGAATTGATTGGGGTATTGTTGAGTTGATTGGAATTGGAGTTGTTGAACAAATTGAAGAGATCTTGTGTATGTGGCTTGCTTCTTCTTTTATAGGCATAAAGTAACAATTTTTTAATTTTTCCTATGATCTAATGCTTCACATTTTTAGAACCATTATCTACTTTTTCCTTCATATTCCTCTACTTTCTCCATTTGAGGAAGAGGTGCATTGCTTAACCAACTCTTCTTACAATTATCTCTTTTCTAGAAGACTTAAGCGGACCTGAGCTAAAATTATTATTTTAGTTCAATAATTGGACTTGAAACTAAATTTATATTTTAGCACAAACAAACATATTCATATTATTTTTTTCCATATTTGATTGGGATGTTTAGGGCCCATTTAATTTAAATAAAATAAAAATCTTATAATTTTTCTATCTCCCAAATATGAAACAACTACAAAAAGAATGATAAAGAACGGTGGAAATGAAAATAGAAGTTTCATAAAGTTGCTTTTTATTGGCATATGTAATTAGTGAATCATAAAACACAATGAAATTATTAATTGTAATTAAAATGTTAGTCTTGCTTTTCTTTTTGGCATTTTCCGGGAGACAGCCCCATGTGTCATACCCTAAAACCATGAATGCCAACGTATTATATAGGTATCAAGTATCAACCTTTATCCACAGCCAATGCCTTAATGCGATGTACTTATCTCCACCAACCACATTGTTTAAGAATTTAGGCCTATGTGCGAGATTCCTCATTAGTTTTTATCATTCAAATTAAAATTTACATTACATCAATATTAATGTACCAGATCTTATCAAAACTTATAATATAAATAGTTATTGGATGGAGTGACAGAGACTTGATTTATCTTAAATTAAGTTAAAGATCTAAACCTTATAAGTAAAAAAAATTTACTAACTGACTAACGGGAGCAATGTTTGATGAAAGGATTGGAGCTCATTCATCATAATATGGCACATTAATGTTGAATAGAATATCTCTAATAAGAAGTCATATGTGTGAAAAAAATGTATTAGGAGAGTTGTTATTTTGTATTCCTTCCACTCAATATTTTTAAAAATGGCTTATAATATTGAGCCGAAGGAGTATAAAATAATAAAACTTTGTAATAAGATTTTTCAAAATACTCTTAAGGTTGTAAATAATAAAACTTTTTTCTATATAGATCACACCAATAAATGTGTGTAAACATAAAAAGAGCGTGCAGTTTTAAAAATAATTAATTAATTTATTAAAGTATAATTTGATTAAAAATATTTTGTAACATTAATTTTAAAGAGAGGGTGTGTGTATCGTAGTTGACAAAAACACAGCAAATGGTTGGATAGTATACAAAATAATTGCATCAAGCTTGACCCGGAAAACTTGGCTTTTGAGAGCCTTATTTTCCGGCAGCAATCCTTACCTTAAGCTCACCATTATTCATTAATTGCACGTGCCACCGTTCTCTCAGATTGTGGGCACACAAGTCATTAGATTCAAACTTGTAATTTCAATTTTCAAAGTCAGCCAAATCGGTCATCTTGTTTTGTTGCATTATTATTGAACAAACTCAAATTGAGGAGGGTTATTTATTCCTTTTTAACTTCTCCTTTACAAACTTTGAATATTCTTTGTCTACATTGTTCTTTACTGGTGAAATATTTTTACCTTCTCGTACTTATCATGATCCAACAATACATAGGGGAAATTAAAAAAAAAAAGAAGGAAAAATAATCAAACAAGTTGTGCATATTCACATAAAAGCAAAGGATGATTCCAATTTTCTACTTGAGACAAGTCAAGTAATTACTTCCTTTGTAGGAATTAACCAAACCTTGCCATCATAAACAATGATTTTTCATATAACAAAACTTGTCATAAAAGACAGAATCTGCATTGTTAATTACTACGCTTCTATACCTGCATAAGAAGCATGTTATTTTTTAATTATTTACTCAACATCTTCAACTTTGTTTGAAAAGGAAGGGACCTAGAAGAAATAAGTTGGGGGCTGCAGGGTCAAAAGTTGAGACAAAAAGATTGAAAAGAAAAATTCAATATGCCCTCTGAAGTTGAAACTAGAGTAATTAATCCACACGTCTCCTTCCTAGGCATGGCTCTGTGCGTGCGTGTGTCTATATATATAGGCAGCACATGAGGCTCATTCAGCATCTGCATCCATATTCAGGTCCATTAATTGCAAGAGAAGCTTTGAGTCTCTGGTGAGATAAGATATTGCAGAAGAGATCGAAGCAAAGAGAGAGAAAATAATGATGAAGAAGAGCCACCATGTCCATAACCAGAAAGCAAGCAAGGAAGAAGGAGGAAGCAGCCATGGGAGATCAGAGAAGAGAAACCCTGAAGGAGCTGAAGGTAATAAGAAGCTTGAGAGACAGACCACAGAAGACATAAACGAAAGTGCAGAAGCTTTCATCAAGAACTTCAGGCAACATCTCATGATTCAGAGGCTTCAATCTTTGGAGAATTATGAACAGATGCTCGCTAGAGGCCTCTAGACATCATCATCATCATCATCAGTTCATCATCCACATAACCTAATGCTTATCCTTTAACTTCCGCATAAAATGGTTTATGTTATCCATATAATGTGTTTAGTGTCATCAATATTGGGTCTATCACGGCTATATGATTGATTTGTTGTTTCTTCTTTTAATTTTTATCTTCTTTCAAGAACTTGCAGATGTAAGGAATAATGAATGACCAGCTTGTATGACAAATAATTGATGAAATTGTGACTTGTACTGATTAGTATTTCTTTACATGTTTTTGTCTGTTTGATCATCATCTATTTTGAAATCATAGAAGTGGAAGATGATGAGAGAGAGTAACTTGCGTTTTGTTTTTTAGGTTTCTGTACCTTCTGTTTATTTTAATAGCAATCCAGTATCATTCAAAAAAGTATTTTTTTTTATATGTCAATTTTTTTAATTGTTTGCATATCCGGAATCCTAAGTCTTCCCCATATCAAATAATGCAGACCTAACATTGTTGCTTTTTCAAATTTATTATTAGTTGATCCAGGTACGTAGTGGTTTAATAATAAGTTAATGGTTTTTTTTTGGGTAAGATTTGAAGTCCATGTGCGGAAAATGGAGAACTTAGATGGAATTTATTTGAAAAGATATTTTTTTCCAAAAGATTTTATTTTTGTTAACAGAAATAAGTAAAATCTCTCTCCAAATATACCATGCGTCAATTTCCTCGGACTCGGTTTCGGAGCACCACGGTCCTCAACACCAGTACACTGCCGTTTGGGAGTGTTATTTTTTTTCTTTTTTTAACTACAAATTTATTACAATAATAAATAAATATTATAAAATTATTATTTTAATATTTAATAAAGAAATAAATATTAAGATGTTAAAATTGAATCTAAATAGTTTAACTCATTAAATTTTAACTTGAATAGTTCATATATAAATTTTGGTCTGAATAGTTCAGAACTGTATGAAAAAAAAATAGAATTTTAACTAAAAATATTTTATAAAATATTTTTTATTTTATTAATTTTATATAATTGTCTATTTATGAGAGTAGTGTCATTCAAGATATGGTCGGATATTAAATATAGATATTTATCTTAACAAGAATTCAAACATTGATTTGTTATAGTATAAAAAACTAATTCATTTTATTAATCTCAACCTCTATTTTAAACTCTTCAGATCATTTTTTATTTTTTTAATATAATTCTAAACTGTTCAAACTAAAATTTTTATTTAAACTATTCATATTTAATTTTAACATCTTAATATTTATTTATTAAATATTAAAATAATAATTTTAAATATTTATTTATTATTATTATAATAAATATGTGGTTTGTAAAGCAAAAAAAAAATTTAAAACTATTAAACAGCAGTGTTTTGGTGTTGAGCACGTGGTGCTCATCTAAACCAAATCTTTGGATGGGAGATGATACGTAATAATAGTGATGTTTCCATCCTACATCAGAATTTGCGCTTTATTTAGCCCACAATTGAGATAGGCCCATATGCCAGATCATGAGGGCCGATCTACATACTTATGCATCCATCTCTCAAATTCACAATTTACTAAAAAAACAAAATCACAACTTGAGTATAGTTTTTAAATTTATTTTGTTATGTCCTTTAATTAAAAAAATTAACCAATTCATCAATTGAATTTAAGATAAATTTCACTGTTCATGATTTATAAATAATATAAATTTTATCATATTACATACATACATACATACATACATATATATATATATATATATACATATTGAAAATGAATTGGCTATTGTTTCTTACGCCATATACCTTCAAATTAACAAGGACCAGAACATGGGGACTAGTTGAAGTGTTAAGCCTCCTAAGCTTCTAATATTAGAAAGAAAGAAAGAAAGAATCTTTTCAATATTTTAATTGAAACTCTAAGCAGTTCTTTGAAAAATAAAAAAGAACAGCAATAATGCTACAAAGATTAGCATACAACACAGTGATCTTCTTTTGTCATAGCTCGAGATGGGCTAAGAAACAAAAGAGGGGTTGGTGCTTTAAAACAGATAATAAAAAAATTCTAAAATTAAAAATTAAACGAAAATGTGTAAACCAATGCATTTATGGATTTGATAATGGTTTGCAATTATAGTAATCCCTCCCAACCTAAAATAGCAGCTAAATAATTAATTTATATAAATTAAAGAAATTAATTAAGTTAATTATTTGTAAGATAATACTCTCCCTGTTTTTATTTATAGGAAAAACTATCACTTTTTATGTGTTTTTTTTATATAAGTAAAAGTACTTATTTCAATAAACATTTATTACATATTTTTTAAATCATCCTTCATAATTTATATTAACGAGGAATAATTAATGCATACTTATGTTGATTAATATAGGGTATTTTAGTTTAATTTTTTTATTTTTAAATATAATTATTATAGTTAACTAATTTTTTTAAATTGCACGATGCAATTTTTTTCTTATACATAAAAACGGAGAGAGTATGTGTTAGTTTTCTTAAAATATAATTCCTTTTGACTATTTACATTGAAAACTATCTATATTAATGTGTGTAATTATTAGAGGTAGTTCGTAGCAAAAATTAAATATGGGAGATAAATGAAATTGGCTTCTTACATTTAGATTTAAAAACAAACCTTTTAATTAATCAACTCTTATATTTAGAACAGGAAGGAATAGCTTTTATACATGATTATTTAGAAATGTTTACAAGGAAAAATATAATCATTGATCTCTATAATTTTATTATATTTTGTTTTTAGTTGATATAATTTTTTCAATATTTAAAAACTGAAAGCATTGAAAATAATGAAATTAGAGATACCCGAGGAACAAACATCAACAATCATATTGAAACTATAAGCATTAAAAATATTAAAAAAATTATACAGATTAAAAGTAAAATTTAATAAAATTATATGGTTTAATAATTATGTTTTCCCATGTTTATATGATAAAGAAAAAGAAAGAACAAGAGTAAAAGAGACGGTAGCATAATTCAAATCAAGATTCATCCGTTATCCCATGTGGGATTCTAATCACGAGTAGAAAATAAATTCCAAAACAATTACTAATGTTGAACTTTTTGAAAATACTGTAATCTAATGCATTATTTCATAACTGATTTTACTTGAATTTATCTCCTCATCCTAATAAAATTCACTTGATTGATGCATATACAACCAATAATGAAAGGATTTGCTTTATCCCCCAACCAAATTCTTATTTGGAAGTAAACAAATTTTCAACACCTTTCCTAGATTTTCATATCAACGCGCATCAAATTTTTCTTTCTTTTTTCTTTTTAATGAAAAAAACACTTCAAATTTTTCTTACTAATGAATGAAAGTGAAAGAAATAAAAGTTCAATTCCCTCACTTGTTGACAAACCAATCATTCTCTAAAACACTCCTACTTGTCTTTCATATTTTACTCCCTTCCGTTTTCAAATATAAAAAAAATAACTAATTCATATAGTTTAAGAAAGTTAATTAAGTATAATAATTATATTTAAAATTAAAAAATTTAGATTAAATTATTCCTGTAATTAATGAAATAAATTTGTCTAATGAAAATAAACATTAATTTTATGAAGGACAATTTAAAAAAAATAATATGATAATTGCTTCTTAAAATTGGTAATTTTAACAAAGAGTACTATCTTAGGACCTATTTATATAGAAATAAATTGTAGTCAAATTTTAACTATAAAGTATTTTTAATATAAGCAGGGTCAACTATCATATATTTGTCATAAATAGTACATGAAGTGGTATTTTAATTGAATTATATGTTATAAACCAACAAGAGTCTTGGAGCAATAAAATTAATAAGCTACATTCGAATTGATGAATTTAAATTTAGATTTAAAATACCATATTTCAATTTCTATATTTAAAAATTTATATATCTAAAATTTTTAGTTTAGGTAGTTTAAAATATATTTTAAAGATAGAAGATATACAAATTAAGATTCAAAACAAAAATAAAAACAAAAATTGAGTAAAAAGGTAACTCTTATTTTTCAATCAATGAGAGATGGGACATAAGTGAAGATGCGAGATGATAGTTATAAAAACAATAAAAACGTGAGAAGAATTAGACATTTGAAATAACTAAAATTTTAAATAACTAATAAGAAGTGAAGAAGATTTAAAATTACAACCGTAAATTTGAATTTGAATCAAATCTTTAATATTTTTATCTAAATAAAAAATTTGATCTAAATTCAAATTCTCATTAACCTAAACAATGTAACTCTAAACCTATTGAGTAATTAGTCAGTCAAATGACTCAACCAAAGTCATACAGCACTACTAAAAGTTTCTTTTGCCAAAGTCCTGATTGTGCATTGATTCTTTGAGACGACGGATCATAATTCTCCATGGAGACAAAAGCAATCAAAATTCGATTTCTCATCCTTCTTCACAATAAATTTATATCTTTAATACAAAATCCTAGGATCAGTATTTTGTATATAATTATATATCTAGCATTTAGTGCTATCAATTAATCAAAAATTGAACATTTTTGAAGCTAAATAAAATAAGGGATTGTTGCTAAAAAGAAAAAAGAAGCTAAATAAGGGATAATTTTCCCCAAGGGCATATAAATTAATTAAACCTGGCTCAATTCTCATATTTTTTCATATGATAAATTATTTCATAAATAATTACCTCTCTCGTTAAAAAATATAAGGTATTTTGAGTCTTTTAAGGTGCAATCATTATTTTTAAAAAAAAATATTTCTATTGAATAAATTACTTTATTTTTTTTAATGTGAAATACTTTATTAAATAGGAGTAAATATGAAAAGATATGATTTGTTTAAAGATGAGTAACTATTTTATTGAGTAAGATTATATTAAAAATATTTTATATTTTTTAATGGAGAAAGTATATAAAAGCTTTTTTTAGTATGAACAGAATGTACATTAACAATTATATACAGATTACTAAGAATTTCTGCACAGTTAGCTTTCATCAAATATAAAAAGAGAAATGAATCTCATATTTTATACAGATTTTACAAAAATATTTATAAATTATCATTAATACAACCTTCCCAATAACGAGACTCAAACCCTTAAAAAAATATACGATGCTAGCATTTGTGAAGTTATCAATCAATGTGGCAAAAGTAATAATGCGAATAATTAGTAGCAAAAATATAATATTACACCCTCGATCGATATAAAATAATGCACTTGGCAGTGACAAATTAAAGCTAGATTCTATAATTAGAGGGACACAAAAGATGTGTATATTTACTGAACTTAACATTTTAAGAGGTGTGGCATCCAACACTTAAAAGCTTACGAGGTTTGAGAAGGACATCTACCTACCCTCTCCACCTCTGCTCCATTTAAATGGCCTATATTGACCTTTTCTATTCGCCGCTTACTTCATCATCTCTCTCGCACACGTTTTTTAAAATTGTTATTTGTCAACTTCATGTGCTTCTGTGAACAAATTGTTACCCATCATGAACGTTTGCCAAACCAAATATTCTTTAAACCCTTAAAATATGTGTTTCTCTCTAGATTTGGATCCAATGTTGCATGAGTATACTTACTTAATAAGTGTTTTACATAACACAATAACAACCATTCAATTTGTAAAAAACTTTATCATATAATATTCACAAAGACAGAATTTTAAATTTTTGGAGGAAACAACATATACGATGAGTACTTTGACTATGAAAATTATTAAAAAGAAATGTATCTTCATAATTTTCAAGTATATTGATGAAATGTGATAGATATAATTGACACATTCATTAAGTGAATAAATTTAAGTCACTCACATAATTTAAATCTTCTCTCTCAATGAAAATTTAAATTTATGAGTGATTAACATCTTCTATTAGACCAGTTGACTCTTCATTATCTTTATCCATTATACTAATCAATAAGTATAATCAACGTCACCATATTTGTGTCTCTACCTAATTTCGAGCATCTTATTTAACTAACAACACTTTCTTTGCCTAATATTTTTGCTGTGCTGTCTTTTTACTCTAATTTAGCTGTGATCCGGACTAAGTGCGCACGCGCACACATATATATTTAAATTCATGTTGATTTTGGTTGATCAAAGTAATTAATGTGAGAATGAATTCACGTACAAAGGTTGCAAAATCACTTTTGCAATGGAAAACAAGCATGCATTAATTTATCGCCTGGTTGTTTCTGCAGTGACTATAGCTATTTCTAAGAACATGTGATTTTCACGGATCCCACGGCAAAAACAAACATGTCCTATGCATTATTTAGTAGATCATCCATTTTTCATTGATCACGTAAAATATGATATTATATAATTTATATATCCAACTTTATTTAATAGTAAAATAAGACTTATTATTGTTGTTGTTGTTAAATAGTAGACAACCTGCTTTCAAGAGCAAGTGCTTGCAAGCAATTGTGGAAGCAATTACTAATACACATTGATTGATCAGTAAGTTCCAGAATAATGTTCCTGGTTGGTCTGTCTGTACGAAGGTCACTTTCAGTCAAATGAATTACCAAAAGTCTAGTTTCAACTTGAAAAGTAAAACCAGGACAGCACAACACATCAGCAACACAGACACCACTTAGAAGCCAAAAGGACCAATTTTCCATTAGGAACAATTGGAGGATTGTTTATTCAACAAGGAACAGTAACCTAAAGCAACAAAAAAGAAGAAAATGACTCCTAGAAAGTATAGACAACATGCAAAACGACAAGCTCGCTCTCTGTATATGTATTTCAAGCCATCACACCGCCTGTCTTCCACCAAAACATTTTTTTTTTTTGGCCAACAACACCAAAACAGCTTAATATAGTAAGAAAAAGCCTTGGATACATTGATTGCAAAGTCACGTAATATAAAAAAATCAGTTCATGTAGGGCCCATGCATGTACCCTAAAGCATGCAAGAATTGGTCATTATTATTGGCCTTTTTTTTTTTGCATTATGTGACAGTGCAAACAATGTATCTAAGAAATTCTGGTCTCACAATTGTGGGACCATCTGTATCTTCTGCGGAGGCTGCTGTATCATCTGGAGGTTCACGTGCGAGCAGGATCTTACCATCTCACCAGCTATGGGGATCACAGGAAGGCTGTCACAATTGCATATCTCGATCATGAATCCATCTGGGTCGTGGAAGAAGAGTTGATCTACTTTGATCCCACCTTCTTCTACCATGGACCTCACGTAGTGGATCTCCATCTCTTTCAGTTTCTTCTCCACCGCTCCCATGCTCTCGCACTGCATGATCTCACAAGAAACCAGAAGTCCTTATTCGTTTTGTCATTTTGTCAAACAAAACGTAGACACAGATGCGTACAAGGAAAGGCCAGCCAATTCATATTTGTCTGATGACGAGTTCATGTTGGTCTTTTTCTCCACAACCATGAAAGAAACAGGTAATATAATTCCAAAAATATTTAAAAAAAACTAGACGGTGCTGGAATTGATTAACCATTAGCTACAATTATTTCTAATATTTGTCCCATTTTCTATCTGCATCTTTTTCTTACGTCCTTAATTTGCTGTCTCTATCAGATACAACTCAGCTCTTAAAAATTTTAAGAACTAAACGTTGTATTTTATGATAATTTTTTGGGAGAAATTGAGAAACTATATGTGATTTTAATTTAATGATGACGTACTCGAGTCGTATACATGTTAAGATAATTGTTGAAACAAAATCAGGAGGACGCGTGAGGGACTAATGCTCGTATATTATATTTTGCTTCTTCCAACATGTTAATGATCAAATCATAATTAATATCCATAATTGGATCAAAAACATACCTGAAACGATATGTGATTATCCTTTGGATTAATTTCGGTCTTCTTGGGCAGGTTCTCTGGGTCCTCTGCTTGCAGCAAATGGATTCCAATTCCATAGCCAAATAGCCTGTATACCAATTACAGCACAGAAAAATCGAAAACAGATCAAGATAAATGACCAAAATGTTAGTTGTACCATGATGAAGAGAATCTTTAAGAAAAGTTAGAGAAATTCCCTAGTTTTATTTCCTGTAATTGTTTCTGATGAGAGTATTTTATTTTTCTGAAATGGATCTTTTCTTATCATGTATTCTGGACGACAGAGAAAAGGAAAACTACCAGGCGCCATCGAAATCGAAAGAGCCCGGCCTCCTGATAGGGAAAAATCCAAGAACGTTCTGATAGAAATCCATAGATTCTTCAACAGATTTGCAGATGAGGGAGATGTGGTTGACAGACTTGAGGTGGAGAGGGTTTCCTTCAGTTTCCTTCATTTTCTCAAGAAAATTGACAAATCGATGTTGGCAACAGAACACCAAAAAAAAAATAACTAATCAACGAGAGGAACGATCGAAGAGGGAATTGGGGAAGAAGGTGAAGGAGGAAACCAAAAGGCAAATATAGGAATTAGGAAGAGGAAGAGAGCAAGTCACGGAAGTCCACGGAGTGAAGAGAAGAAGAAGGGCGAGCAGGTGAATATAAAGGCTAAAATGGGGCCATGGACGTGACACGTGTCAATCTCGTGATTCGTCATGGTTGTTTAGCGTGCGAGTTCTCTGACACGTTGCTGACTAGGTGGCAGTAACTGCCCGCTATAAAAGCCCGGACACCTCAGCTCCCATGATCCAATCCACAACTCATACTGTTTGGCCAAATCCACATTTGCTTAATTAATTTGAAATTTAAAAATTAACTTAGGACGGAATTTAAAATTAAAAAACCACGCTGTTCATTCTTATCCACCCTCAGTCCCTCGCATGCATACAAACATTCCTATAAGATTTCTGACACACTTCTTAGTACTCACCTGACCTCCACGTGAAATTGAGAAATAGATTTGGTACACTTCACCACTTGCCTCCTTTGTTAAGGCGTGTGATGGGAGAAATTAGGAGTTGGTTATGAGGGTGTTAAAATTGAAAGATATACTCTATCCGGTCTAATATATATTTCCTTCATTAAAAATATTTTAATATTACTTTTAATAAAATAATTATTTATTTTTAAATTAATTTTATTTTTTTATATTTATCTCTATTTAATAGAGTGTTTTATCATAAAATAAATATAAAATTATTTATTTAATAGGGATACTTTAAAAAAATAATGATTGCATCTTCAAGGATTAAAAATACCTTACATTTTTAACATTTAATCCATCAGAAAATACCTTATATTTTTTAAGAGAGGGAGTAAATTACTTTTTTAAATTGATACAAAATATAAACAACTTAATATTTGCAAAAAAAAATTTCATTTTATCCATGATATTTATTAACTTTGATTTTTGTGTTCATCATAAATTTATAGCATTCTTCTTACTCATCATAAATTAGAACTGAGGATAAATTGTACAAACAATTAATCTCTCCATTTCAAATTATAAAATATTTGTAGACAAAATTTCATATACCAATAAACCTCATTAAATACACTTAACAATTTTATCTTTTTAAAATACAAATATAAACTTTAAAAATATTTATAATTTAATATATTGAAAAAAAGTATGAAAATTAATATATAGAAAAAAAGTGATGAAAATTAATTATAGAAAGAGAACGGATAATATTGAAATTAATATATTTAATAAAATATTAATATATTTTAAGTGTCTTATATTTTAAAATGAGAAAACTCCTTTAAAAATACGTTATAGTTTAGGACGGAAGGAGTAATATATATTTTCGTGATGGTAAGAATTTTATTGGTACTATAAAAAGCTGTTTTCTTTTAGTTTGGAGGAAATTTATGATTTTGATATTCTAAAATCATGTAATATCCTAGATAAATAGAAAAAAATTCACAGATTATTTAAAGAGTAACTTATTAAATCTAAATTGCATCGACAATGAGCGACAAACTTCAAACTACAACTTCTTATTGTAACTCCAAAGTCATACTCCCTTCCTTTTTATTTATAAAAAAAATTATCATTTTTTACTTATTTTTTATTTAAGTAAAATTACCTATTTTAATAAATAGTTACTACACATTTTTTAAATTATCCCTCATAATTTACATTAATAAAAAATAATTAATGCATGATTAACATATAATATTTTAATTCAATTTTTTTATTTTTAAATATAATTATTATGATTAACTAACTTTTTTAAATTATGTGATATTATTTTTTATATATATAAAAATAAGGAGAGTAACTCATCAAATGTGAATAAATCTTCTTAATATTTAAAGATCAAATTGTAAAAATCTGAACAATAACTAGTTGTTAGATATCTTAAACTAGAAAACATGTCAAAATTCAAACTAGCTAAAATTCAACTACAACTTCTTAACACGTGTAAAGAAAAAGTTATCAAAACTTGAGCTGCAACTTGTCAAAATCCAAATTACTACTTGCCACCAGAACTCTAATGGCTATATTTGTCAAAATCTGAATTACAGATTCCTCACCCGAACCGTGACAGTCGCCGACGATGGCTGCGACGGGGCTCTGATGACCATTCCACCACTAAGGGCGTCGGCATTATCATTAATATAATGGTGGACAGGGGGACTTTCTTTTTTAAAATAAGTAAGGGGTATTTTCATCATTCCATGTAAGGCTGCATAAAAGGATTGAATGACACTAAATTTTCACTTAACGTGAAGTCTAGCTTCTTTTATGAAAAGTACTCAGTTAGACAACTCTTAATTCGATCTTATCTAGTAATAACTCTAAGATTAACAAGATCAAACTTAGTCTATAGGATTGAGAGATTGATCCTGTTAGTCCAATATTTATTTAATTTTGTTTCTTTTTTTTTTGTGAGAGGCAATAATCTATTTCAATCTAATAAACTCAATTAAAATAATAAAAATACTTATAATCATAATAAATTTATAATAATTTTAATAACAAGAAAAAATATTTCAGTTATAGTTTAAATGATTTAAATTTATAATTTCAACAAAATAACATTCAACAAACTTCAACATTATATTACAACAATAATTTAAAAATAAATTCAATAAATTTTCATACAATTATCTCCTCAGTATCAATTACACTTGAAATATTTGGCAAAAATAAATTAATTATAATTATATTAAATAAATTAATAGGATTGAACTGGATCAATTGGTCCAAATGTCCAATCTTCTATCCAATCCAATATGAAGAAATAGTTGAATCTTTTCAATTTTTTTGATCTTGAAGGACCAGTATTTATACAGACCTAACAGGATAAGACCATGTCAAGTTAGACTGTGTCGAATCAAACTAGAAGACTTTTGCACAGCCCTAATTTCATACATACATGTCGCACCCGAAAAAATGCGACGCGGACGGCGCGCGAGCAAAGGTCCCGGCCTTCGCGGTGGGAACCAGATCGAACGAGGGTCGCCACCAAGATTTTGAGGTAAATCTCGGGAAACCAATTAAAAGGAGGATAAGGGTGGTCTGCAAAATCAGAGAATAGGTTTGGGAGTCGGTTGAATGTGGGAAAGGTGTTAGGCACCCCACAACACCCGTTCGTCAGAACGAATACCTGAAGTTTGTTGTGCTCTTTTAATATGATTTTATAACTATTTTAATTATCCCTTTTATGTTCATGTGTTTGATATAAAAATGATAGGAATTAGGTGAGAAATGTTTATTTATTTACAAGGGAGGACGGACTTGACTCAGAATCTGACTCTGAGGCCTACGTACCCTATAATGGGGATCAAAGTCCATGTAGTTCGGGTTTATAAATTTGTTGGTGAAAATATTTTTTGAAGAGAAATTAATTAGAAATCATTTACCATTTTGCAAATAAAATAATTTCTGAAATTTTGATATATGTGTTTTAAATTGCAAAATGTAATTTAATTTTAATTATTTTCTTCATTTTTGAATTTTTGAAATAAAGAAAGGAAAGGGTTTAAAATTATTTTTCTTTATGTTTTATGATTGAGAATTTTAATCGCAATACCTACAAAACCTTATTAGTTCATACGAGAATGCAATTGCTCTAAATATCTGTGAAGATTCTGAAATCTCACACGATAAAAGAGTTTGACAATCTTAATTTATTTATTTATATTCTTATGTACATTTTTAAGTGTTAATAATAATTTTTAGCGTGTATATACATGTTTTGAAGAATTTTAATCATCATACCTGTATAGCCTTATTGGCTTATACGGTAATATGATTTATCCTAAATATCTGTGGAGATTTAAAATCTCACACGATAAAGGAATTAAATTTATTTAAATTTTTAATGTGATTATATTAATATATAATTTATACATATTTTAAAAACTTATTCGTTATATCTGCAGAGTCTTATTGACTCGTACGATAATACGACTATCTTATAAGTCTACGGAGATTTAAAAATCTCTCATGACTAAAAGATTAATTAATAAATATGATTACCATTTAAACACATTAATTTGGTTAATTAATTTTCTAAATTATTTATTATATGATTATTATTTACAAACATCATTTATTATATATATTGAGAACCATTATATCTGCGAGGATTTATTATCCCACACGATAATGTGATTAATTTAAGTCTCTACGAAGATTCTTAAAATCTCACATGGGACTTAAATAAATTATTGATTTAGATTATAAAAGAGAGTTAATATTAATGATGGGCATTAAAAACTCATATTAACATATTAACATATAAATAAATTGTGAATCACGATATTGCAAGGATTTATTATCCTACATGATAAGGCAATTAATTTAATTCTCTACGAAGATTCTTAAAATCTCATGTGAGACTTAAATATTTACTATAAGATTGATTCTCATACCTGCGAAATCTTATTGATTTACACGATACGAAATCATTCTAAGTGCCTATGAAGATTCTTAAAATCTCACATGACAAATAGATAGCCAAAATATTTGTATTTACAGTCAGTGTATAATATTGTGGGTAGCTAAACAATTCATGCAATAAAGGCCATGGAAAGAATAGAGAAATAAAATATTCTGACAATTCACTATTCTTTTGACTTGAGGATATATTCTAAAAAAAATGCAAATTTGACATAAACTTTTAGCAAGATCATAGCCATGATAGACACGGCTTCAAACCACAATCACCTCACAAATTATCAATAATATTCTCACAAACTCTCCTTTTTTTATTTTGTCAAACATCTCTCAAATATGTTCTAAATTCTACATAGAAAAATATTTAAATTTTAATTTTTTTTATACCTAAACATACATCTGGATCAGTCCACACTCATAATATCTATCAATATACATATATGTTCATCAATGAATCCAGATTAAGGTAGATGATATGATTTAAATATTACCTGAGTAACTTGTGATTTTAGGTTTGCATTCTTCTTCCTCTCAAGATAACGCTCTCATCGCCTCAGCCTCAAGTATTAAACGTGTTTTTGATTCTTTGTTGCTTGTAAAACATCCAGCACCCGTGTGACATCAATTCAGACTGCAACTTTTAGAGAATAAGCTGAAAATCAACGCTCT